GTTCTAGCCGTCTCCAGGTTTTTGTACTCTGGGGGTTGGTAGGTATGCAAGAATTATCTGGGAAGAGGACTAAATATTCTAGTTGCAGAGATGGGGGGCTTGCTCCATGATCAAGGGTGATGGCTGAAAGATATTTGAGCACAAAAAAGAGGGGACGCTTGACATGTAGCATTAATTATTATCTTCCAGGGGCCAGATGGTGAAACGGCATATTTAGCACTTCAGGGACCTCTACCAAGGACTGTGGATGACTTCTGGAGATTAATAGCCTCCCACAGGTGTCAGGTAATGGAAATGTACAGTTGTGGTAGGTGTGGTGGCCTGATGGACTCCAAATTAAGTAGTCAGGGTCCAGGCTCGAATTGGGGTTACTGCGTCAAGTCAGTGCTTATCTGTGGTTTTCTGTAGCATGAAGTGAATAGGTAAGTGATTCTACAACCTGACCCCCTCCACAAGCCCCGGATTGGATGCGAGGTCATTCCAGGCTTACAACTAGCATGATTGAATTTGCCAATACCCATTTATACACCTGTTTGGAGACAGATACTGTGAGAGTAGAGTGTCTTGCCCACGAAAAGAACACAATGTCCCCAGCCGGGGCTCGAAGTTGGACTCAGTGGTCTACCTGAAGTCCACTGCACTTAACCATTAGGCTCTTGCACCTCCTGTATAGTTATAGAAGGAGAGGATATGTTTGAAATAAGTTGTGGGCCCTTCTCTGAGACAAGGGGAACTTTTCAAAATACAGACCCCTGTCCATAAAGAGAGGTTTGATCAGGTAGAAAGAGGTCAAACATTTGTTTGGCTGTTTTTTGTTTTTTGTTTTTTTTTTTTAATTAACTAGTATGAGAACAGGTCCGCAATCCTGATGAATTTTATTGTTAATAAGTTCACTCTGTCTGTTAATTTTTTCCTAGATTGTGATAATGGTATGCAGAGAAATTGAGATGGGAAAGGTAAGCATTGTACATGTACCGGTAATGCTCAGTTTTAACTTGAGTGTTGGCACTGGCTAACTTGGACTTAGTTAAATCTTTAGTTTTACATTAGACTACGAGTAGTCCCTCTTTTGCTTAGTCCATCGTGTGTGACGTGAAAGAAAACAGCGAGAACTGGTTATAGCAGCCCTGTCTTTATCTCAAAACATGCATTTATTAATTTTTACTGGCAGGTAGCTGTAATTTATAAAACAGGTTTTAATATTAGTTTTAATTAATATTTTAAGTTGAGCTCTTTTCTACTTCAGCTGAAATGTAAGCGGTATTGGCCGGAAAACAAAGATGACATACTGACCTTTGCTGGTTTGGAAATATCTTTGGTGAGCTCTGAAGTTAAATCATGTCTACCTGTACATATCACAAATCATTGCATTGTATACAGTCTAGTATAACAGGGCTCGAAATTAATAAAATCCATAAGTCACCATTAATGGCGACTTAGTGGTAAAAAAATAGTTGCCTGCAAGTGCAAATTTTTAATTACCAGATAGAAGAGACGCAATCCTTAGGCATACATGACATACTCAATGTTCAAGGGTTTGCAATGCATTATAGGGTAATTTCGAACAGGGGTAGCCATTTCAAAGTTTTCCGATGTTAGCCGTGTGAGAGGATCGTTTACTTTAGCGCGCCTTAAAATAGAGAAGCTGCTGAATCAAACATGGTGATCAAAGAATCGTGGGTTTGGTTTATTACATCTATTCAAATAAATCGTACCTTTCATCCACAAGTAATGTCGTTTTCTTTTGAGGTTAAAAGGTTCGCAAGAAAAGCTAATGACCAGTTCATAATATCTGGTCGCCAACACTTGATTTTTGGTTGTATTAATAGCGACTAGTGAGTCGCAATTTCAAGTCCTGTATCATTTTATGCCAAAGGCTGTAACCAAGCTTCTATGATGCATGCATGCACAACTGTGATTGCGGGGCTTTGATAAAGCTCCTAAATGACTCTTGATTTTATGCCAAATTCTCCATATCTTCCTAGAAGGAAGTGCAAGGCATTTGGTAGGAGAACCTAGCAGTCTATGAGATTTCATTGGGGCCCTTAATCCACACATACCCTTTCAATTAATTATAATAGTTATAACTACTGCATAGTAATATATGAAGGTTAATCAGTACACTAGTGTTATGCAACTTTAATACATGTAACTGTTTACTGAGAGATATCCATTCACTGTTGATACATGTATGTTCTGGGTGACAGTACAGTTACATTTGGATTTTTATAGAAGACACTTGTCTAGTGGTACACACTTTTGAACACCCTGTGTAGCGTCTCATAATTTTAGAAGACTGTGTACAATGTCATGTATTTCAATGGTCAGAATATAATTCTGCTGCACCACTCCAGTCAGTCTCCTTTCTTGAACAGCGGCTAGTAATTGAGCCTGCAGTGTCTTTAACACAATAGGCTCCAGATCTAAAGGCATAAAGTGGGTGAAGTTTAAGCTAAGTAGCCCATNTTAGTTTTTGTAGCATACAGTAACTAGGAGTTAATTTCTACCACCCCATACAAATACTTGGTTACAGAAACCGAAACTGGCCTCAAGAATCCTCATGGGCCCAATGAAGATGAGTGAGAGTGACTTATTAATAGTCACCTGAGCGGAGATGGGTTACTGTGAGAAAGAGTGTCCTGCTCAAGTACACAACACATTGACCCTGGGTACTTAGTCCCTCTTGGAAATGCATGTCTAATGTTTGTTCCTCGGCAAAACATATGGTTTTGGGGTGCTTTCCTCCATTAGCATTAACAGTATGGTGCTTATCAGGTCACTGTGTTCCTCTGGGCTTATCAGCATGCAATTTTGTTCTTTAATTTGTCAGATCGATGAGAACAATCTTGCTGAAGGATTTGTCATGAGAACAATGTGTATGAAGTCTGGTGAGGTATGGACTAAGCTATGTAATACTATTTATTGCTATTGAAAAGATTAGTCACTGAGATTAATAAACAAATTGAGACCTGAAACATCCAGCATTAAGCCCAGACAATACTTGTGTATACACGTGAACCAGTAATATCAGGTCTGGCCCACTGTAGTACAGGGGGGAGGGTGAGGGGGGGGGGGGCGGTTGTTGGTGATGATGTCATGTGATACCACTCCAGCACCTATTCCCCCATATGCCAGGGTAAAAACTTTTGACATTTTATTTTATAATTATGAAATAACATATAGGTTTTTTTATAGTAGATTAATGGTGTTATCAATGGCACATAAGTTCATGGTGTTAATTGCACAATGGCCTTGTTCTTACATTCTAACTGCTGACAAGTCCATGCCATAACTTCTTGCAAATCTCCTTACAATACTGTAGCTTGCTCTTTACAATGGTTAGTTTATAATTACTCTTCATTTTTGGGGCTGAGGAGCTCTATTAGCTACATATTTGGTTTTCTTTCAGGAGCAAATGACTGTGACACAGTTACAGTACACAGCCTGGCCTGATCATGATGTCCCGCGGTCTGCAGCACCACTTATCGAATTAAACAGAACACTCAGGGCTGCACAAGGAAATAGAAAACAAGTTGTTCTTATCCATTGCAGGTGAAAGGTTTGAACCTTATGTATCTGCAAAATAATAATGCAACTGTCATTTAAGGAATCAGAAACATTTTCTGTTTCTTTATTGAGTTGTAGAAACCCACGTGGAGGTTTGGGAGAATGACAAATACTGTGGGAACAGGAGTTTTCTTGACGTGAGCATTTCCGTGGACAACATTTCCAAGGTCCCCTAAACCTTCAGGAGTGTTCTATAACACTCAGAAAATGTTGCTAGTTGAATTTGATTATCAAAATGTAGATTCACTTTTCTCAGGTCAATTAAGAAGTATGTAAAAAGTAAGCATTTTGTTTTTGAGTTTGCACATTCCTCTTCCAGTGCTGGATGTGGTAGAACAGGGACAATTATTGCGGTGGACTATGCCTGGACTCTGTTAAAAATGAAAGTAAGTGATGACAACACATCATTCTATATTGTATATGTAAATTATAAACAGTTTTTCTTCTAAATTGCCACCCATTTTTTTAGTAAGCTTGGGACAAAATACTTTGATATGTCCAGCAGATTTTCTGATACCATCCACTTGACTGGTAAAAGCACAGATGGATGAAAGGCGAAGACAACAAAGGGCACATTATATTGACAGTGAAGGAAATAATATTTAATATTTCCGGGAGGGGCAGAGGAGGCGGGGAGGAGGATATGGGCATAACTGCAGTACCCTAACTATACCCTTGCTCAGATTGAAAATAAGAGCTTTGTTCAGTGTTTTCAGTTCAGTTCAGTTTTGTTTTTTTGTTAGAGCATAATAATATTAATTGTAATTGAGAATCTTTATATCTCAAATATGACATGGTTTTGTGCATTGCAGAAGACTGATAATTTTAGTGTGTATGACATAGTCGCAGACCTTAGAAGACAGAGAATGGCTATGGTTCAGACCAAGGTATTTTGTATGTTAAGTGTTCAACAAGATTTTGCAATGCAAGTATACAAAACAATACCATGTGCACTTATTAGTTAAACTGTCAGACAATTTGTTTGCTAGGTCCAGGAAATGCTAGGGAGTTGACTAGAGAGAGACAACTTGCATATGATAAAAGGAAACTGTAAGGAAATTTTATGCACATTTTAAGGTTGTTGCAAGTTTGGATAATTAAACTTAGCAAAAACCCTTTTATGGACAGTTGGAAAACAGTACTGTGTTGTGAAAAGCAGCGATGGGGAAGTAAAGTTCTGTTGTAAGAATAAATTGGCTAGACTTGATTTGGTCAGTCTCAATGGTTTTAACTTTGCTTTGTTTATTTTTTTTTTTTTATGTTTTGTTGTTGCCAAATATGATTTTATGTTTATCACTGATCTGTCAGTGTATGGTTCTCAAAATGCTTTTCTTTTTTTTTTTTAAACCTGTTTGAAGAATTGCCATACATGTAATTATTATTATTTTTTTTACGGCTGTCCTAATGTTGACTATGAAAATGGAAACTGCTTTTTGGTTGCACCTTGTATTATATGCATCGTTTCGTTCTTTGCTGAGCAAGTCCCCTTGTGTTGGTGAACTTAACTATTTGATTTTCTAAACAGGAGCAGTATGCACTAGTGTACAAAGCTGTAACGCAACTTGTTCAAGAAGAACTAGACAAAGAGAAGATCAAGTCACACACATATGTCAATGTGGAAATACCCGAGGCATCTCAATCACCAGCTGGGCGAGAAGACTACGAGAACTGTGAGTTTGCACAGAGTGTCAGTCGATGGAAACAAAGTGACCTTCAAAATGGATCAGTTCCTAGGGCGCCAGCACCATTACCTGCACAAAAGCAGTCAAAAACAAAGTCCAAACCACAATTACCAAATAAACCACCCTTGGCACGGTCACAACCGGATGGGGCTGCGGTGGTACAGCCAAATGCACCAATACAGCATGACTATGTGAATCTTGAATATAACACAGCAGTGACTAAAAACAAACCTGCATCTCCAGTGAGGGATGATGGTGCAGTCTCGACCCAACTTTTGCAACCAGCAAAGAGTAATGCGTCAAATCTGAATTTAAATGAAGTGAAAGCAGGCAATCAAAATTCTAAAGCCATGCGACAAAAGAGTCCAGCAACCCCTGATTATGAGGTGGTGCCTAAGAAACTGTCGACGCCAGCTGTATCCAATTCAAGAAATGCTAAAGCTCCTCAAGGGAATAAAGCTGTTTCCACTGATTATGAGTTTCCGTCAGTGTGTGCTCCACGGGTTAACAAGGAACAAGCTAAACATGTCCCTGAAGGTAAAGTGTTATTACAGCTGTAGGTTTGCTTACAAGATTGTTCAATTCTCTGTGTCATATAAAGTAGTGTGTCTTGATTGAGGAGTGATGTCTTTTGGAAACCATGGACATCACAATAATGCATCCTGGATAAATTAGCTCAAAGACAAACTATATATATATATATATGTCTGAATTTATGAAAACCGTGTTAAAGACTTTGCACCAAAATAGCGGGCATNCATCACAACCTATTTCTTAGTTTGCGACTTCTTAAATTCTGTTTTTCATGTTACAGAGCTATACCTCAACGTCAAGTGAGGAAGGAAATACTCCTCCAGCAATCCCGAAGAAGACAAACGAAGCCTTTCTCGTCCCAGGCACGTAAATGACTTAAACAGGATAATCTGATTAAAGATATGTCCATCTCTGGGCCCTCAATTTTTTCCCTCACGCGAAAAACAAATCTGAAATGTGTCTCTAGACATTTGATACTTAAGAAGTTGCTTTGTAGAGATACGTGTTTTGACCTATATTGCCTCATACGCATGCGATCGTTTGCCTCAAGTACAGACGAGAATAGATTGCGTGACGTGACTGCTAAAGGAACTCTGACCAACTATGTCACGCAAGTCATAGTAAGAGCTCGTGCGGAAACCTTATGAAAAGGAATGATTTTGTGTACCTTGCATTACTCCACAGGCGAGGAACCTTATGAACATATTCAACAAACAAATAGAGGCACCCTGGACCGGTTCAGGAAAATGATGAAAAACACGTCAAAGGTTTGTGACATTTCTTAGTCAGAGAGGGCAGGGGAGGAGGAAAGAATGTTAGGAGAAGCTGGGAAAACCACCATATCGTTGGTCAACTCCTCGATGTATAGAATTATTTTCTTCAAAGTTTTAAAATAGCAAATAATAAAGAAGGATGGCCAAGATTGGGAAAAAAACCGAATTCGATTGTGAACGACAAATTGGAGATATTTATACCAAATGTATAAAGATTCTCATATTCAGACGTAGGTTAATGTGTATTTATTTTGCTATCTAATTCCCCGGCATCTTTTTTTTTTTTTTTTAAAGATAGTCTTGAAAGAGCTTTAAGGGACGAAATGGTATTCTAAGTGTCGAGGTAGCCTTAACGCCCATTTACAAAACAGGGGTTTGTTATTCGGCTCGGATAAAATTGGTACCCATGCTAATTATTATCCATACTCGGTCAACCTATCTACATTGTATTAGCACTGGCGAGAGTGGACATGTGTACTGAGCGGCCATTGCCAAGTTGACTTTTGCCTCTGTGTCAAAATGAGTCTCACGCGAAAGCATTCATTTGAAAAAGTGTTTCACCTGTACTTTCATTTTCGTGCCAATCAAACTTATCTTCCTTTCAAAAGATGTTTTGCACGAGGACTGCTGTTGTAAACGATAAATTTGCAAACGGCAAGTCCGAAATGGTGTATTTTATCCAAACCTTATCGAACATTCAAGGTTATGGAATGTAAAAGGGTTCTGAAGTACTTAATTGTGTCCCGTCGTAATGTTGCACGTTTATAAATGTTAGTTGTACATTATCCGTGTCGGTTATTCTTGTTTATTAGGGTAACCTTCCAAAACGTTTGTCTGATGGCTCACAACCTCATGGACTTTTGCGAAGTAACAGCTCGGGAACTGGTAAGGAGTTTTGACAGTATTTCATAAGACCATAGGCATGCAATGCGTGCAAAAATATAGCTGCTTATGCATCTATATAATCTCCTATTTGTTAATGATGGTATAAAAACTGTAGCAATTTAGTACGCAGATGATTGAACGTTGAGAGGAACTTTCAAGGATCCTTTTCCATAGTTTTCTTAACAGTTATTGAAAACTAGTAGACACATCTTTGAAATAAGGACACTGAAGTTTTCTAAGATGCAAAAATCTGGAAAAGGAAAGAGAAGTTTAGTCTAGCTTTTCCAAATCCGAGATCAAAGTCCATGTTTTTAACAAAGGTCGGGGGTTTTTGTTCGAGCCTGTAAACAGTTCTTGATTGGAATATGTTTGTGCTAACCAAACCTCTGTTTGAGTTATTACGTCGAGGTTACCAAAACCAATACAGAAATAGATAAAAAATAACGACTTGTAAGCGACCAGTAACATAACTTTGTGGCCAATCAGAGCAACACAGTTTGCCGTAAGCGTACAACTGGCAGCCTCAAAACGGGTAAAAATCATCTTTCGGTAGCGATTGTTGTTGTTTTCGTCANTTGTATTAGCACTGGCGAGAGTGGACATGTGTACTGAGCGGCCATTGCCAAGTTGACTTTTGCCTCTGTGTCAAAATGAGTCTCACGCGAAAGCATTCATTTGAAAAAGTGTTTCACCTGCACTTTCATTTTCGTGCCAATCAAACTTATCTTCCTTTCAAAAGATGTTTTGCACGAGGACTGCTGTTGAAAACGATAAATTTGCAAACGGCAAGTCCGAAATGGTGTATTTTATCCAAACGTTATCGAACATTCAAGGTTACGGAATGTAAATGGGTTCTGAAGTACCAAATTGTGTCCCGTCGTAATGTTGCACGTTTATAAATGTTAGTTGTACATTATCTGTGTTGGTTATTCTTGTTTATTAGAGTAACCTTCCAAAACGTTTGTCTGATGGCTCACAACCTCATGGACTTTTGCGAAGTAACAGCTCAGGAACTGGTAAGGAGTTTTGCCAGTATTTCATAAGACCATAGGCATGCAATGTGTGCAAAAATATAGCTGATAATGCATCTACACAATCTCTTATTTGTAAATGATGGTACAAAAACTGTAGCAATTTAGTACGTAGATGATTGGACGTTGAGAGGAACTTTTAAGGATCCTTTTCCATAGTTTTTCTCAACGGTTATTGAAAACTAGTGGACATATCTTTGAAATAAGGACACTGTTTGAAGTTTTCTAAGATGC